GCATACTAAAACTAACTAGTTTAACCAACCAACTGAAGCATAATCATACTGTGCATACTAAAACTAACTAGTTTAACCAACCAACTGAAGCATAATCATACTGTGCATACTAAAACTAACTAGTTTAACCAACCAACTGAAGCATAATCATACTGTGCATACTAAAACTAACTAGTTTAACCAACCAACTGAAGCATAATCATACTGTGCATACTAAAACTAACTAGTTTAACCAACCAAGTGAAGCATAATCATACTGTGCATACTAAAACTAACTAGTTTAACCAACCAACTGAAGCATAATCATACTGTGCATACTAAGACTAACTAGTTTAACCAACCAAGTGAAGCATAATTGTACTGTGCATACTAAAACTAAATAGTTTAATCAACCAACTGAAGCATAATCATACTGTGCATACTAAAACTAACTAGTTTAACCAACCAAGTGAAGCATAATCGTACTGTGCATACTAAGACTAACTAGTTTAACCAACCAACTGAAGCATAATCATACTGTGCATACTAAAACTAACTAGTTTAACCAACCAACTGAAGCATAATCATACTGTGCATACTAAAACTAACTAGTTTAACCAACCAACTGAAGCATAATCATACTGTGCATACTAAAACTAACTAGTTTAACCAACCAAGTGAAGCATAATCATACTGTGCATACTAAAACTAACTAGTTTAACCAACCAACTGAAGCATAATCATACTGTGCATACTAAGACTAACTAGTTTAACCAACCAAGTGAAGCATAATTGTACTGTGCATACTAAAACTAAATAGTTTAATCAACCAACTGAAGCATAATCATACTGTGCATACTAAAACTAACTAGTTTAACCAACCAAGTGTAGCATAATCGTACTGTGCATACTAAAACTAACTAGTTTTACCAACCAAGTGAAGCATAATTGTACTGTGCATACTAAAACTAACTAGTTTAACCAATCAACTGAAGCATAATCATACTGTGCATACAAAAACTAACTAGTTTAACCAACCAACTGAAGCATAATCATACTGTGCATAGTACTAAAACTAACTAGTTTAACCAACCAAGTGAAGCATAATCGTACTGTGCATACTAAAAGTAACTAGTTTTACCAACCAACTGAAACATAATCATACTGTGCATACTAAAACTAACTAGTTTTACCAACCAACTGAAGCATAATCATACTGTGCATACTAAAAACTAACTAGTTTTACCAACCAACTGAAGCATAATCGTACTTTGCATACTAAAACTAACTAGTTTAACCAACCAAGTGTAGCATAATCATACTGTGGATACTAAAATTAACTAGTTTAACCAATCAAGCAAAGCATAATTGTACTGTGCATACTAAAACTAACTAGTCCTACTAACCAACTGAAGCATAATCGTACTTTGCATACTAAAACTAACTAGTTTTACCAACCAAGTGAAGCATAATTGTACTGTGCATACTAAAACTAACTAGTTTAACCAACCAAGTGAAGCATAATCGTACTGTACATACTAAAAGTAACTAGTTTTACCAACCAACTGAAACATAATCATACTGTGCATACTAAAACTAACTAGTTTTACCAACCAACTGAAGCATAATCATACTGTGCATACTAAAAACTAACTAGTTTTACCAACCAACTGAAGCATAATCGTACTTTGCATACTAAAACTAACTAGTTTAACCAACCAAGTGTAGCATAATCATACTGTGGATACTAAAATTAACTAGTTTAACCAATCAAGCAAAGCATAATTGTACTGTGCATACTAAAACTAACTAGTCTTACTAACCAACTGAAGCATAATCGTACTTTGCATACTAAAACTAACTAGTTTTACCAACCAACTGAAGCATAATCATACTGTGCATACTAAAAAACTAACTAGTTTTACCAACCAACTGAAGCATAATCGTACTTTGCATACTAAAACTAACTAGTTTTACCAACCAACTGAAGCATAATCGTACTTTGCATACTAAAACTAACTAGTTTAACCAACCAAGTGTAGCATAATCATACTGTGGATACTAAAACTAACTAGTTTTACTAACCAACTGAAACATAATCGTACTTTGCCTGGTTGGTAAAACTAGTTAGTTTTAATATGCAATCAAAGCATTACTGTGCCAAGGTTTCGGTCTTAGTACCATCACAGTAATGTTGTTTAACCAGAGATCATGTGCAAATGCCAGTAGAAAGACAGTAATCCATAAGCGACGCGTGTGTGTTCAGACACGTGTGTTCAGTGTTTGGAGGATGTATTGATATCAATGTCAGGCTGGGAGAGAGAGATGTGTGAGACACATGTGACTGGTACAGACACACAATCAGTCCTCTGTTAGAGTTCTGATACTAGTTAGTTCAGTCCTCAAGCGTACACAAACGTGTTTTATGAAAGTTTCATCAGAAATGTGTTTTATGGAACTAAAGACGGTGTAGTGAATTTATTTTGGGTAATGTGGCTGCTCAGATTTCTGTGGAACCACAATGGATAGTTTGTTTGTAACGCCACATTGTGGTAGAAATAAGAACTGCAGCCACGAAAATTTTAATTTAGATTTACAAGTATTTACATATGTAAATAAAATTGAGGCAAGTTGTTACACTTTTACTATAGTAGTGTATAATTTTAAGATGGGAGTATATATACATATATATATATATATTATTTGTAAATATGAAATATCAAGCCATCTTGTGCAGCATATATGTATTTAAAATGTTATTGAGTTTTTGACCAAAGTAATCCATAAAACAAAAGCAAAAAAAATACTCATAATATAGAAAAAAAAGAAAAACATAGCATGCAAAAAAAAAATCACACCATTGTTTTGATCAAAAGAAAGTAATTAATTATAATGTCTAAATTTACAGCAATTAAAACGTACGTGACAACTTGCCCCGACTGTTATTGAGGGAGTCTGGTCTTAACGTAGGTCAGTGTTGTTTTATGTTCATATAAACAATTCCATAAGGATATTGATTTTTCAGAGAATTAAAACACACAAAAAATATTCTAATTTTAGCCAGCTAGGCCTTAACTGTCACCAACATACACAACAACTGCTAGAGAAAACGTTTGACTCAAAATTCTCATACCTTTCCTGTCTGACAACTTGCCCCGGTCTAAATATGAGCTCATTTTCTCTCAGCCAGGGCGAATAGACCCTCATCACCCAAAGGTGTGTGGCCACCAGGGCAGCGTGATGGACATCAAGTGGAGCCCGTTCATGGACAACATCATCGCGTCCAGCTCTGAGGACTGTACGGTGAGAAATAACCTGAGATATAATGATGCCAATGCAGCCTTGACCAGGGTCAGGATAAATATAATAGGCAAGGCAAGTTTATTTATATAGCACATTTCATTCACTACGGTAATTCAAAGTGATTTACACAGAAAGGAATTAATTTACAATAATCACAAAATAAAAGCAAGGAAAATTAAAAGGGGATACATAGGTAAACTTCTCATCTGGCATCTAATAATGTCTAATAATACTGAAATAAATGTTCCTTTGACTTTGAACCTCAGGTGAGGATCTGGCAGATTCCTGAGGGCGGTCTGAGGAGGAACATGACCGAAGCTCTGATGATCCTGATTGGCCACAGCCGGAGGGCGGGGCTTATCGAGTGGCATCCCTCCTGTAGCGGGATCCTCATCAGCGCCGGCTACGACTGCAAGGTGACCGGACAGTGTTGGGGCAAACGCATTACAAGTAACTTGAGTTACGTAATCAGATTACTTTTTCAAGTAACTAGTAACGTAATGCATTACTTTTCAAATTTACAACAAAATATCTGATTTTACTTTTTCAAATAAGTAACGCAAGTTACTTTGTTTTCCCATTTTTTGACTGACAGCTCTCCTGTCCAGAGGCGTTGTGTGTGAACATGATGGTTATTGTAGTTCTACACTAAATGTGTGTGTGCATTTGCATCTCACTTGCAAAAAAAACATTCAATATTCCTCAAAATGAACAAAATCAGTGAAACGCAAAATCAGATTATGCAAACTCATGCAGTTAATCTCACTTTAATGACCAATGTACTTTATATTGACTACTAAAAATGACTTTATATTTTTAGTTTTTATTTGTGAAGTAAGTGTTGAAAGATTTGTTTGAGCGGCACTGGACACTTCCTTCAGCCTGAGGATTATTATTTCAATTTTGGTGTGAAAGGGCCTTTACATTTGCCCAAAAATAACACTTTTTTGTAAAAACAAAACAAAACAAGCCCAGCCCAGGTGAAAAAGAGTAACGCAAAATTAACGTAACGCATTACTTTTCTTGAAAAGTAACAAAGTAACGCAATTTAATTAAGGGAGTGTTGTGGCAAAAATTCATCTCAGACAAACATCACTGCGTAAGAGACACTCAGAGTCAAATTATATAAAATAGAAGTATTTATTCTTGCAAGAATAGGAGCAGTCTAATACACAGTTGTTACCCTGTGCAGAAGAGTGACACACCCCCAGACAGACTGAACTAGCTTTTATCTTAGTTTCAAGGCCTTCTTCCCCCCAGAGCCTTCCTCCCAGTAGTTTTCCATAGACGTCACTAGTTGGCCCACTAAGCTCCCCTGCACCAAAATGGCCTTCTGACATCTAGGTCAGAGGTCCTTGTTCGTCTGTTCTCTGGAGTGTCTCCCTCTTCTGCCTCCCCAGGTACATAAACAGAATCTTCTCTCACTACAAGTGAGAGACACACATGTGACATTCTTTGAATCATCTATATTTTACTAAAGATCAATGAATATCATTAAAATTGCCACTACAACTCCTCACTTTTTATCATTCTGATTACCCATAATCACAATAATAAACAATAAAACAAATTTTAAGTCATATCATCACACTTATACTCTTCATCTCTGATTTTTTGCATAAATGATCACTCTCCTTGAACCTGTGAAGAAAAGTTTAGAATGAAGAAGCATAAGGCTGTTTTTGTGGGGGAAAGGCCCCGTAATATTTTAGCAAGCAAGTAAACATTTTTACGACGCCTGGCTAAACGAGAAATCACTGTTCCTGCGCTCCTATAAACAGACCCTCAGTCACGCCAGTAAGGAAAAAGGTAGTTATAACATAGTAAGGAAACAAACAGATAAAGTATAATTAAAATCACTCAGTTTCAAACCCTATCTTTGTACGCCATCTCGTAACACGGATGACCGCTGCTTGTAACCTTCTTTAAATCTTTTGCCCTTAATCTTTCTCAGAAAATAAACAAATAGAAGAAAAACAAACAGAACATACATTTAACACATATCTCACTGTAGCTCCCGCTACCCGTATCGTCACATAATTTTGTTCATCCTTGGGATAGACTGTCATTTTCACCAATTGAACAGACAGCATGTTTCACCTGTCACTGTAATCGTATTCCCCCATGAATAACAAAATAATTAGAATAACAATCCTAACTCCTATCATTAAGCCTTTTCAATTAATCTACGCCCATCTCCATATTTCACCTCGGTTTTCCTAACCATATTTTGTTCACTTCTAATTCAATTTAGTAAGCTCTATTTAATGCCATATTTAACAAAATCTAACCAGAGAAGTCTTATAATTTTATCCATTCTTCTAACCAATGCAGTTGTTCAATATTAACTCTAATATTTCCATTACGGACACAATCAATATATTTTCTACATTTACAATCAAATCAATACCTAGTTTGATTCAATCAAACCAAATCATCACAAAACCAGATTCTTCTGTTAAACTTAAACCATCAGTTGTGTTGATCATCTCGTTCGCCCCACGGACTATGGGATGGTTGTGGCCTGTTGGTGTAGGTGAGAGGCTTGGACCCAGGTGTCACACTCTCAAACCATTTTCTGATCCTTATAAGGTTTTCCCTTAAATCACGACCGCACCCCCCCTGGAGTGAACTGTCACCTGTGAATGGAGACCTTAAGTATTTTGTTAGTGACCGCTTGACAACCGCTCGTCCCCTTTGGTGTGACCTGTGGAATCAACAATCTGAAACATTATCTCCGGATAATTTCTTGCTCACTTAATAGCACTCGGGGTCCTTTTACCCTGAAAAAACACTCAACCCAATTTGCTCATGTCCACACAATATTTATACATTTGGAACAGAATTAGTTCTGTTTGATCCAATCCATCCTGACATTCTGTAAAAGGAAAATTTTAAGTTATGCGCTGCGCAGGTGTAGCACCTTTCTGCCACAATAATAACCCAGGCCAGGATAGTTAGCCAAATTCATCCATAACCATCATTTTATTGGCACATTTTGCCCTGTCTCCCAATCCTGCATGCTCTCTGTAAAGAGAAACAAATTTCGAGGTTATTGTCAGATAGTAAAGTACGTAGTTTCTTTTGTCTACTGTTCTCCCGTGTCCTTCGATGCCCTGGCGTTTCCTGTTGAAAACAATCTTTGTTATTGGTGTGTGTGGCACACTCACAGACATCCATTTTGTTAGGCAGAAAAATGGCTTCTTTCAGGGCTTTTATCAAATTACCCCTAGTGTTCTCCCAACATTTATTCAGCAACTGTGAACCCCTTAATAAACCATATTTGGCAATTGTTATACCATCTCCCTCTTGATGCACGACACAACTCGAGCATCAATTTAACATAACATTTAACATAGTGTTTTTTTATAAAGTTTGCCATCAACACTAACCCAAACGTTGTCCTTCAGACAAATTCCCTCCAGACATCTTTCTCTGCCTCTGAAACAAAAATATTACATTCTTCACTTAAAGCCACAATCTCATCTTCTTCTCGAAGTATTTGAAAGGCAACGGCCCTCAGTCTCACAGCGAATCCTGCTTTTCAGGCCTGTTGTTCGGTCTCTCAAGTCAGTCATCTACAAACATTTCCAAAGTCATCAATTTTCCCTATCAGGTCAGGTCGTGCTGTGCAATCTTGGTCAATGTCAGTCAATCATTTCTCCCCCTTTGTTCACAATAATCATAAATGTGAGGGGCTCTCTTGATAATTTCATGTTGACTTAGCCAATATGTCACTTTGTTGTTTCCCTCAAATCTTCAACATTTTCATTTATCTCAGCCCATGCCAGATGGTGATCTACAACTACACAATTCCAATTTACTTAAACTGATCTTCAAATCTACATTATGTATGACAAAAGTATTACTACCAGACAGAGCTTGATGGCCAATCAACTTAAAGCTTGTCCCATGTTCTGTATTGTCTTTTCATCAGAATTATCAGCTTCTTTAAAATTTTTCATTTGCCTTAACCCATCTGTAATGATAAACTCATTCCAGAGGTTAATGACGCAATATACACACCATTCAGGCGGAATATTAGTGCCCCAAACTAATACATACAAGACATAAAGTGCTGTCACCATCACACACACTCATTCTAGACACACATATGTTAACTGCTCATTCTCAATGTTCACTTTTCTTTATATTATTGCTAAAAGATTTAAATTTTAAATAAGATTTTAACCTTTCCATTTTTCCTGTAGCTTCTATCTAATTTTACATGGTATCTTAACCACTTTCAAAGCATGTCTTGTTCATTATTCATTTGATTTTTAGACAAGTCAGCTGGGTTGTTTTGTTTCATTATCATTATTTTGCTTCAGCTTGCTCTAGCAGGCAGATAACAGAGAGACAGACACAGTTACCATCCCTTCCTCCAACTCAGGCAGTCTCTCTCACTATAAATAAATAATCTTTTTCAACAGCCTTCTAAGGCTGTAACTTAGACAAAATGTAATATTAAATTAATTACAATAACCTTTGACCATTCACCTTGTTATCCAGACTTTTCTCAAATCTACAAGAGCTGTCTTCATCTTTAGCCACCACCATGTCTAACGACCTTCAGGAGTTAAAACTATGTCATAGACCTATTAGTTCAAAATCAACACTATGATTTTCCTTGCCCATAAGGCAAACCAGTACATAAAAAGTTTTGCTACTGTCTCCACAACAACTAATGGGAATCACTTCATGGCCTCAGCTGGCTCTTGAAAGCCCACTCCTGTTAGCCCTTTATCTATAATCTCCATCAGGGTGTTTTCCCCTGGCATATTTGCAGACGCTTGTCACAAAAAAAACAAAAAAACAAGCCATACAATGAATGCGGTTTCTGGTGATTGGTATTAGAGGAACACTCACGTTTCTGGGTCAGACTGCCTGTAACTCCTCACAGCTCATCCGCCCTAACGATAAAGGATGCTGCTGGCCTCACAGTCATCCGCTCCACTCTCATACCTTTCTCACATAAACACCTCCATCTTGAGATGCCAGTGACTTTACGTGATCCACTCTGGCTTGGGTTGCCCCCTGTCTGGCCAATAGAAGGTCTTACCCGTCATAGAGATGGCCACTCGTGCCCACTGGTGACAGCTCTTTCCCATCACAGGCTGTTTGCTTCAACAGAACTCAGCTGTTTTCTAGAGCTTAGGAAAGGCACGTTCAAGAGTCACCAGAGCCATTCGGATTGCCTAATAGTGTTCACACAGGGAGACAGGTCAATAACAACAGTATTTAATCACTTAAATCCATTAACCATCTTAAAAGCAGAAACCTAGCTACTTGGATTATACTCAGTGAATTTAGATCACAACCGTACATTCAGTGTACTTCATCTGTAGCCGGAGCCATCGGTCCTGAATGGTGGAGACTAAATGAGACAAAGAAGTTACTGGTCCTAAAATAAGCTAATCAAAATGTCATCTTTATCTGTATTATTATTTTAAATACTTCTTTAAAGTCATTCAGTTTTATTTTTAAAACATCTCTGTGTCTATGATCCTTCAACTGAAACACTGTGCTTTACTTATTATCACAGATACCAGCTTTTAGCTGATTCATTAAATGAGAGAGACTCTGAGACTCTATTGGATGGTACACTGCTCTCTCATATACTTCTAACATCAAACTTTTATCTATCATCTTTTAACTCTATCCCAGCTTAAGGCATCTTTGCCAGAAATTACATACGGTTTCAAATAAACATATTATTTATATTTGTCTTTTGTCCACCTCAGGGAATTTAGACATTACAAATTTCCACTCAGATTGAGTCTCTGTCGCACTGGCAGTTTCAGGCACAGCACACATCAGATTTTAGATAAGCGAACTGTTTCAATACAGCCCATAACAAACTTATCTTTTGAAAGCAAAACATCAGCTTCTAGTTCTTTCATGGTCAACTTTTCAAGCCGTTTGTTTAATCAGATGCCTTTCAACATATTTTACATTTAGCAACTGTTAATTCAGTAGCCTACTGCTTCTGCTTATTTGTTCTTACATAATGGTAATTATTCTAGTTCTCAATAACATTTCACATTTCTCAATCTCAATTACCATAGCTTAATCTCTGACTTCAAAGTTTTCTCTTCTAGGAGTTTATCAGTCTCCAATCAGGATTCACACTAACTTTGACAAGGCTACTCTGCATCTTTTGCAGTTATTATAAATCATCTTTGAGATCTGTCTCTCTATATTACCTTTACATATTTTGCAACTCACATTTGTTGGAGTCACAAAAGGATTCACTTTAAGACTTCAATCTTTTAACCTTGTTTTTTATCTCTTATTTCTCAGACCAAAAATTGTCACTGTCGTCATTTAAACACTGATCTATTTTCAACCCTACATTATTATCAGAAATGTGTCACGTGTTAAATGGTCCTACTGACCACAATCCAGACACTCTCTGTCATCTGGTTGGTTCGTGTGTCAGCCTCAACTACAGCATCAGACACCTTGCAGTTTGATCACTGTGAAGGGCTTCAACTTAACACGCCCTTGAAGCAGTGTGTGTCCCATTCAGGAATGTAAACAGAGCCACTGATAAGCAGTTCTCTGTATTCTTTTTACAGTCCACCAATGGCGGATTTAATCACAATAGCCAAATCATAATCTTCATCATTATTATTGGCAGAACATTATACATTATTGATTTCCAGAATCTTTGGACATAGCTGTCTTTACACCTTACAAGTACTGTTGCTGTTATCCCAGCTTATCTTTTACAAAACATCATCTGCAAATCTCTTCAAAGTGAGATCTTCAGAGCAGAGCTGTTTACAGCATTTGCTCTCTTCTGTCTCACTATTTATTTATTTATTTATTTTCCCGGACTGTTCCGTTACTCTTCATAAAGTGTAACAATTTGTACATCATTATTTTCATTACAACTGGTTTGAAGCCTTTTTTCTTCCACCACATGGTTAGTCTGCAGATTCAACTTAATATTATCATTATTGTCTCAGTCTTATCTCTACTGTTTCTCCAAAACAGATTATATTACTCAGTCCGTAAATGACACAGACAACCATTATAGCTACTTGCTTCAATACCCTTATTTTCTTAACATTAATAAAATAAAGCAGATATATCATCATTTCAATCATTATTTTATCAAAATCTAGAATTGTTCCCCATTCTGCTTAAAACATTCTTCATATCATGTTAATCCCTGTCAATCATACAATGCCTTATTTTATTCTAAAACTTTTCATATCATTTAAACAGTTACTTTGACTTCCATAAATTCTGTCAGACCATGTCTATTTTCATCACATATAGTTTTCTACTATATTTCTCCTTTCTTTTCCCTACATGCCAGTTCCTTCATTATCCTCTCCTTTCTTTTCTCAAACATGCCAGTTCCTTCATTATCTAACCAGTACATGATTGTTTGCACAATCCCCACAAAAACATATCTCACACACCAACCTTTTTGTTTTTTTCACTTCCCTCTTCCACCAAGTCTCACTTACAGTTCCCTCTATTTAACACAGACAGGCTTATTGCTTCTTGCTACTTCAATCCTTGTCATATAAATTTAAGTTCTATAGACATCTAATGTCATGCATCCATTATCTGTTCACATTTTTTACACACATGTTGAACGCAGCCACAACAACCTTTTGTCCCGCTGCCCTGTTCCACTGATTCTCGCACACTCTTAATCTATTTGTGCTCAGTGTTCCCTCCCTGGGGAAATCATGGTATTTTCCCAGTTTTTTCAATATCTAAAACATACATTTTCCCCCATACTTTCCTAGTTCTACAGAAAACCGGTGTATCAAATTTCGCAAGCTTGCTTTTGAGACATCCCCATACCGGCTGTTTTCTGTTCTCTGTGGATTTCTCTTCAACGCGCGTTTTCTTTAATCTGTTAGGCGTCCCTAAACAAATCCGATTCTTTCTTTTAACCCAAATCGGTCGGGTTGCACTATTAGTGCCCTCCTAATTACGGTTTACCAAAAAATTCTGGTTCCCCCTAATTAGCCTCAGTACCTAAAAACAATTTGCTCCGTCGTGGAACAACTGATTTTCAGGTTACCTATCTGTTTGAAATCTCTTGATCTGTTACAGATCTCAATTAATCTCAGATAATTTTCTCTCGTATCTGTTTGAAACCTCTTGATCTATATATAGATCTCAATTAATCTCAGATTACGTACCACAGAAACAGCCCTCAGCCAATATGGTTCAATTTCACTCTTCTCCCAATTAAACCATTTAATTTCCTTACCCAAAAGAAAATAAATTGAACTGTCTCTTACCAGAGATGCTTCTGTTGCCACCTGCGGGTTCTTTAGATTCCAGTGGTCGATTCTCCCGGCCCTGATATCGGTCGGCCCCTCTCTCTCAAGTTTACGAGGTAGAGCTGGAACTTACTTAGTCCAGGTGGCCAAACACCGTCCGATCTCAGGTCCAGGAGGCACGTCCAAGGAATATCACTTCTGACACCAAAACTGTTGTGGCAAAAATTCATCTCAGACAAACATCACTGCGTAAGAGACACTCAGAGTCAAATTATATAAAATAGAAGTATTTATTCTTGCAAGAATAGGAGCAGTCTAATACACAGTTGTTACCCTGTGCAGAAGAGTGACACACCCCCAGACAGACTGAACTAGCTTTTATCTTAGTTTCAAGGCCTTCTTCCCCCCAGAGCCTTCCTCCCAGTAGTTTTCCATAGACGTCACTAGTTGGCCCACTAAGCCCCCCTGCACCAAATGGCCTTCTGACATCTAGGTCAGAGGTCCTTGTTCGTCTGTTCTCTGGAGTGTCTCCCTCTTCTGCCTCCCCAGGTACATAAACAGAATCTTCTCTCACTACAAGTGAGAGACACACATGTGACATTCTTTGAATCATCTATATTTTACTAAAGATCAATGAATATCATTAAAATTGCCACTACAGGAGTAACGCAATATTGTAATGCATTACTTTTCAAAGTAACTTTCCCCAACACTGACCAAGACAGCCGGAACTAACCCGCAGAGAACTGAAGGAGTACATGACTGACAATAGTGATATATTTGTTGTTGACGATGCAGATTCTGATTTGGAATCTGGAAGAGGGCGTGGCTGTGAAGATGATTGACAGCCATCCAGATGTTGTCCTCTGTATGTCCTTCAACACTGATGGAAGTTTACTGGCCACGAGCTGCAAGGATAAAAAACTGCGGATTATTGATCCGCGTTCAGGGAAAGTTCTTCAGGTGAGTCTTATACCAGCACAAGCCAATGCTAATAAATTATATATATATATATAATAATATATAAACAAATTTTAAAATTTAAATATAGTGTACAGTTAAAATATATAATTTAAAAATAAATTTTTTTTTTTTTATTTAAATAATATATATATATATATATATATATATATATATATATATATATATATATATAATAATTTAAATAAAAACGATTTATATTTTATTTTTAAATTATATATTTTAACTGTACACTATATTTAAATGAAAAAGTTTGTTTAATTAAATACATTTTGTCGAAAATAAATGTTATTTTTGCATCATTCTGATTTGGTGTCGCTGATTTACCATACACATTATTGTTTTTATAATAAATAAATAAAAATATACAGTATCTATATTTTAATTTAAATAAAGAAAATTTATATTTATTTATATATATATATTTATATTTTACGAAATGTTTTATAATTTTATAATTTTTTATAATTTTCTTTTAGAATTGGCTTATTTAATATTGAAATAGTATAAATATTAATGTAATGTCATTGTTTAAAATATTACTATTATGAATTCTTATTATAATATTATAAAATTTCCCAATTAATCAAACACTGTTTCGGGTTTTACGAGTTATTATTCAAGTAAAAAGAAATTACAATAAAAGAAATGGAACGAATAAAAACACAAGCATTTTGATTTTATTTTTGTGCATTTTAAAGAGCACAAAATTTTAAAATAAAATACAAAACTAGCTTTATTACTAGCTTTAAAACTAAATTTATTTTAAAGCTTATATTTGAACTCTACATTATATTTTAACCGAACCTGTTTGTTTAGTTCTATATAATTTGTACATCCAAACAGGAAGCAGACTGTAAAAGCACGAGAGTGAACCGCGTGGTGTTTCTGGGTAATCTGAAACGTGTCCTTACCACAGGCGTCTCCAGGTGGAACACCAGACAGATTGCATTATGGGATCAGGTAGGGTCTAAATGGTTGACGGTCATCATCCTCTATGTCTCTAGGCCGACTAGAATAAGTCAACAGATTAATCTGGATATTTGTTTATATGTAGGAGGACCTGTCTGCACCCGTCATGGAGGAAGAGATCGATGGGCTGTCGGGAGTCCTCTTCCCGTTCTATGATCCCGACACACACATGATCTATCTGGCCGGGAAGGTGAGCGAGCCAAGTGCAAATATTTTCTTTATTAAAGGGGTGGTGTAATGCCCTTTTCACAAGATGTAAAATAAGTCTCTGATGAGTGTGTATGTGAAGTTTTAGCTCAAAATACACCACAGATATTTTATAAAGCATGTTAAAGTTGTCCCTTTTTGAGGGTGAGCATTGAGCAACAACGCACAGTTTTTGTGTCTGTCCCTTTAAATGCAAATGAGCGGCTGCTCACGACAAACGGGGGCGACAGTTAGGTGACATGTAGTTGCAAAGTTACTCATAGTTAGTAGAATGTCTAAAGTGGACTATCGAAATAAAGTGTTACCTTGGATTGTATTGCATACTCAGGGTTCTCAAGTCTCACGCATTGGCCGTGAGACACACGACACGCAATTCAACCAGTTCACACGCTCACACACCGTGTATTTCTCACGCTGAAAAGGCAATGGCAACCAAGTTGTCCTGCAAGCTTTATAACGTTGTATACGAGGCGCAGGCACACAAAGTGAAGTTTCCTGCCGCCAGCGCGTCCGTATCTCGGCCAGATTGCGTTCGTTGCTAGGCAACATAGATGCGCGAACACACGGAAGTTGATGGAACATTCTCGGCCACCGTACGTTCGTTACTAGGCAACATAGATGCGCGAACACACGGAAGTTGACGGAACATTCTCGGCCGCTGTACGTTCGTTACTAGGCAACTAGGGGTGGAACGGTACATGTATTCGTACCGAACCGAAACGGTACGGGCGTCACGGTTCGGTGCACGAATTTACACGGAGAATACACGGTATAAAAATAAATAAAACTCGCGTGGAAATTAATTAATGTAATGCGGAACTACTGTTAGATACGCGGGTTCTTTAGGGACACATATTCTGGACCATCGGCTTTGCTCTGAACGCGCGTCCGAACGCGCGTCCGAAATCGTACCGAACCGTGATGTCTGAACCGAACCGTGACTTCTGTGTACCGTTCCACCCCTATAGGCAACATAGATGCGCGAACACACGGAAGTTGACGGAACATTCTCGGCCACCGTACGTTCGTTACTAGGCAACATAGATGCGCGAACACACGGAACTTGACGGAACATTCTCGGCCACTGTACGTTCGTTGCTAGGCAACATAGGTGCGCGAACACACGGAAGTTGACGGAACATTCTCGGCCACTGTACGTTCGTTACTAGGCAACATAGATGCGCGAACACACGGAAGTTGACGGAACATTCTCGGCCGCTGTACGTTCGTTGCTAGGCAACATAGGTGCGCGAACACACGGAAGTTGACGGAACATTCTCGGCCACCGTACGTTCGTTACTAGGCAACATAGATGCGCGAACACACGGAAGTTGACGGAACATTCTCGGCCACCGTACGTTCGTTACTAGGCAACATAGATGCGCGAACACACGGAACTTGACGGAACATTCTCGGCCACTGTACGTTCGTTGCTAGGCAACATAGGTGCGCGAACACACGGAAGTTGACGGAACATTCTCGGCCACTGTACGTTCGTTACTAGGCAACATAGATGCGCGAACACACGGAAGTTGACGGAACATTCTCGGCCGCTGTACGTTCGTTGCTAGGCAACATAGGTGCGCGAACACACGGAAGTTGACGGAACATTCTCGGCCACTGTACGTTCGTTACTAGGCAACATAGATGCGCGAACACACGGAAGTTGACGGAACATTCTCGGCCACTGTACGTTCGTTGCTAGGTAACCAACAACATCGCGCGCACACACGTCGTGATGGAGAAGGTAAGTTGGAAGAAAGCTCGTCTAACATTTTTAGGCTAGAACATTTAATATATAGCCAATCGTATACATTATTATTGATGCAGTCAAAAAATCTACAACTACTTTGCAACCAGGCCAGAAGCTTTGGCTCAGTTTGGCTAGCTAACGTTATCTCAAACTAAGGGAAATGTTAGCGGGTATGGGAAGGAATGAAGTATTAATAGTCTTTCTAGTTACATTAAGGCTACATGTATTAAAGCAGACGACAACACAAAACACATTTCATAAGCTGGAGTGTGTACTCTTGTGTACACACACACACACACACACACACACACACACACATCACACATCACACACACACACCTTAATACTCTAATATGTCCATTTGTTCACAATGTCCCACCACACAATAAATCATTACACTATTTCGACTAGACACATTCAAAATGCAAAAAGATTTGTTTTTCCAAACTGTTTGGAACAATTTGTTATATTTTTGTATATTTGTAATTTTGAAATATAACATTAAAGAGTATATTTGATGTGATGAATTGCTCTGTCATTTATCAGATTTACCAATTGTTATAATTTCAATTTGTGCTGGTTAATTATGAACAATGGGTAAAATTGGGGCGGGGGCGGGGCTCCATCAGGATCCATTAGAACCGCATGTGATCTCACTCCAAGCTTTTGATAAAACTTGAATGCAAATTGTATTTATATATAGCATCTAACAAACTATTTACAGTTGTGCAAAGTAAATTACGTGTGAACATGTGCCGACCTGCATGTGTGATCTGACTGGAGGTGGTGTGGCGTCCACAGGGCGACGGAAACATCCGGTATTACGAGGTCAGTGCGGAGAAGCCGTTCCTGCAGTTGCTGATGGAGTTCAGGTCTCCGGCTCCTCAGAAGGGTCTCGGTGAGTTTATGATCAACACAGACTGTCACTCACACACTCACACACACACTCAACACACGGCACAGAGCGCCACCATCTGGTCACATCGAGAATTGCAATTTTTATGTTTCAAATAAAGATCTCGATTCTGAACTAACAACTAAACAAAATAATGTAATTACTGACTAAATGTAAATTGCTGCAGTTTATTTCAAACGTTTAATTAATCTGAATTAATTCTTTTTTTTTAAAGTCAGCTTGAATAAATGATTCAATGACTCACTCATAAACACTTAAAGTCCCCCTGCAGTCAATAATTTTAGCCCTTAAAACTCATCTTTGATCACCAAAATTACATATTGAAATGTGTTTTCCTCGGAAAAAAATTTCTTCATGCCTTGAAATATCTTGAATGTAACTCGACACACCCGTGCCTCATTTAGTATACGCGCTTCTATGAATATGCAAATGAGCCCCGCCTCCACTCACTCACTCAGCTCAGAGATCCACTGGTTGACGAGCACACGTTGATCTGATTGGTTACAAGGTCGTTTGTGACGTCAGAAACACCAGCGATTTCAAACCGTGTTTTTGAGACTGTCTTTGGTTCACTGCAGTTTTAAGCAGAAAATACTCAGCAATGCTGTCGACTTATGAATTTACACATGGTGTGTCTTAAAGCATATTAAAAACACCATATAGACACATAAACAACATTAAAAGCTGGATTTTCACCACAGGGGGACTTTAACTGGTTTCATTACTGGATGAATCAGTATTTTTGAACGAATCACTTGAGTGAATGATTCAATGACAAATAGATTTTTTAAAGTCACTTGTCGCGATATAACGATGTAATAATCAATATAATTTTGTTACTTTAGGCGCCATGTTACTTTCAAAAGGTGATTTGCTCTATTTTGATCGCTTTCGTAGACATCCGTGTTTATATCCGAACTCTAACCTTTTATCCAGCGCTTCTGTGATCATGTAAAGGTGGAGTGATGAGTGGAGGGTGGAGGTGAACGAGTGTGATGTTGTCATGCAGGTGTGATGCCCAAGCGCGGCGTCGATGTGGGCGAGTGCGAGATCTTCAGGTTTTATAAGCTGGTGACTCTGAAAAATATGGTGGAGCCCATTTCCATGATCGTCCCGCGCAGGGTGAGAGAAGCCACGATTTAACTTGGGTTCAGCTTTAAAGACAAGATGGAATGAGACGCTTCTCTGAGTGAGAAGAAATGATGTCAAGTGGCTTTTAACTCTTTCCCCGCCATTGATGAAATTTTCTGTCATGTGTGTATGTGTGAGAGAGTGTGTGTGAGTGTGTTTGTGTGTGTGTGTGTTCAGCTCCACATGTCTGATACTGTGTGTGTGTGTGTGTGTGTGTGTGTGTTCAGCTCCACATGTCTGATACTGTGTGTGTGTGTGTGTGTGTGTGTGTGTGTGTGTGTGTGTGTGTGTGTGTGTGTGTGTTCAGCTCCACATGTCTGATACTGTGTGTGTGTGTGTTCAGCTCCACATGTCTGATACTGTGTTTGTGTGTGTGTCCAGCTCCACATGTCTGATACTGTGTGTGTGTGTGTGTGTGTGTGTGTGTGTGTGTGTGTGTGTGTGTTCAGCTCCACATGTCTGATACTGTGTGTGTGTGTGTGTGTGTGTGTGTGTGTGTGTTCAGCTCCACATGTCAGATACTCTGTGTGTGTGTGTCCAGCTCCACATGTCTGATACTGTGTGTGTGTGTGTGTTCAGCTCCACATGTCTGATAATGTGTGTGTGTGTGTGTGTCCAGCTCCACATGTCTGATAATGTGTGTGTGTGTGTTCAGCTCCACATGTCTGATACTGTGTGTGTGTCTAGCTCCATATGTCTGATACTGTGTGTGTGTGTGTGTCCAGCTCCACATGTCTGATACTGTGTGTGTGTGTGTGTGTGTGTGTGTGTGTGTGTGTTCAGCTCCACATGTCAGATACTCTGTGTGTGTGTGTCCAGCTCCACATGTCTGATACTGTGTGTGTGTGTTCAGCTCCACATGTCTGATACTGTGTCTGTGTGTGTGTGTGTGTGTGTGTGTGTGTGTGTGTGTGTGTGTGTGTGTGTGTTCAGCTCCACATGTCATATACTGTGTGTGTGTGTGTGTGTGTGTGTGTGTGTGTTCAGCTCCACTTGTATGTGTGTGTGTGTGTGTGTGTGAGTGAGTGAGTGTCTCTGTGTGCGAGTGTGTGTGAGGTGTGCGAGTGTGTGTGTGTGAGTGTCTGTGTGCGAGTGTCTGTGTGCGAGTGTGTGTGTGTGTGCGAGCGAGTGTGTGTGTGAGTGTCTGTGTGTGTGTCTGTGTGTGTGCGAGTGTCTGTGTGTAAGTTTGTTTGTGTGTGTGCAAGTGTGTGTGAGTGTCTGTATGGGAGTGTGTGTGAGTGTCTGTATGCGAGTGTGCGAGTGTCTGTGTCCAAGTGTGTGTGTGCGAGTGTCTGTGTCCAAGTGTGTGTGTGTGTGTGTGTGTGTGTGTGTGTGTGTGTGCGAGTGTCTGTGTCCAAGTGTGTGTGTGTGTGTGTGTGTGTGTGTGTGTGTGCGAGTGTCTGTGTCCAAGTGTGTGTGTGTGTGTGTGTGTGTGTGTGTGTGTGTGTGTGTGCGAGTGTCTGTGTCCAAGTGTGTGTGTGTGTGTGCGAGCGTGTATTTATAACACAACACTTCTCTGCTATTGACAGGATCTGCTGTTTAAAAGCAGAGGCTCTGTTCTTTCTTTGGATATATTGCATGTTCAGGCCATTAAAGTTTTGTGAAAATGATAAAAAATGCTGGCGGGGAAATATTTAAAGTCACTGAAACAATGCCATTACACACTGAAAGACCTTCTGTGATGTGTGTGTGTGTGTGTGTGTGTGTGTGTGTGTGTGTGTGTGTGTGTGTGTGTGTGTGTGTGTGTGTGCTGCAGTCGGAGTCGTTTCAGGAGGATGTTTTCCCGATGACGGCGGGCTCAGAGCCGGCTCTGTCGGCCGAGGAGTGGCTCAGTGGGACCGACAGGGGTGACGTCTTTATCCACATATATATCTGGGAATAAATGCATAAATAAACATGATCTGAGGTCATTAAAGTATAGATGTGTGTGTGTGTGTGTGTGTGTGTGTGTGTGTGTGTACAGGGCCAGTGCTGATTTCTCTTAAAGAAGCGTATAAACGTCCAAATCCAGCAGGACTCAGAGCATCGAGACGAGACAGACGCACTGTGAAGGGTATCGACTTACTGGAGAACACTTCAAACACAGACAAAGAGGTGTGTGTGAGTCTGTGTGTGTGTGTGTTTTTGTGTGTGTGTGTGTGTGTGTGTGTGTGTTTGTTTGTGTGAGAGTGTGAGTCTGTGAGTGAGTGAGTGAGTGTGTGTGTGTGTGTGTGTGTGTGTGTGTGTGTGTGTGTGTGTGTGACCTCAATGCAGATCTTGTAGCCCAATATGAGATTATTAGGGTGTTTTTCCCAGGAGAAACATCAGTGAACTTCTCCATTTGCTCTATTTAAGCTTTGTGTAAACGAGATATCGTGGAGATGACGTGTGTGTTTTGCAGCTGCTGAAGACGGTCTACAGGCAGCAGGACGAGCTGAGGAAGCTCAAACATCAGCTCGCAGAGAAAGACCAGAGAATCCGGCAACTGGAGCTGGAGCTCAAGAACCTGAGGAACACGTGACGACTAAACAGCCGATAGACCGCTATAAACCGTAAATAATTGTTTTATTAATATTTTATGGATTTATTTTTAAATTTAATAACGTTATTGAAGATGGATGTGATTTTTTTGAAGTGCTAATTCTCCCAAAATTGAAATTTCAGTCATTATTTACTCACTCCCATGCTGATATTTTCACCCTGCAAAAATGCTTTTCTTACTCAGTATTTTCGTCTTGTTTCCAGTCCAAAATATCTAAAATCTCTTAAATCAAGATGCATTTAGTTTTGGTTCAACTTTGGTTTACTTTGATCAACTTTGGTTTACATCAATTTATCAATTCACCTACCCATGTAAAAGGTCATACCCTGGATCTTGTGTGTTGTTCAGGTCTAACTCCTCATAATTGTACTACTTCTGATCTGTCCATATCCGATCATATGTTGGTGTCGTTTAATGTTCAGTTACCTGTTTTTAAGCACAATCAATGCCGTTCTATCTCATTCCGGAACATAAAAAACATTGATGTTACGATCTTTGCTGAATCATTTTCCAACCTTTGTAGTAATGTTCACTATTCCACCCCAGACGACCTGATTTTACATTACAATAATGGATTGCAAACTATCTTAGATGTTTGTGCTCCATTAAAAACCAGGTCGGTTTCATTTGTTAAGTCTGCTCCTTGGTTTACTCCAGAACTACGCATATTAAAAGTTAAAGGTCGACGCCTGGAGCGATTATATGTTAAGACTGGACTTGTGGTGCATAAAGAACTGTATTCTGAGCATATGAAAAATTATAAGGTTGCCCTTACTACAGCTAAAACTGATTACTTTGCCAGTGTGATTAGTTCTGGCGAAGGGAATTCAAGAACTCTCTTTTCTGTGTTAAATAATATTTTAAAACCACCTGATTCTTTTCCCTCACATCTTTACTCTGCTGATCTCTGTGAAAGTTTTATGTCGTTTTTCATAAGGAAAATTGAAAACATTCATCAACAAATGTCTGTGACAAAGTTAGACAGCTGTCAATTTAACCCTTGCTCTGATCAACCTCCTAATTGTATGCTTACCTCTTTTGAACTACCAACCATCGAGGAAGTAAGTACTATTATTAATAAGAGTAAATCTACCACATGTCAGTTGGACCCTATTCCAACGTACCTGGTTAAATCCTGCCTGTCTTCTCTATCTCCTTTAATTATGGAAATGATACATTCTTCACTTACTTCTGGAATTGTGCCATCTCAACTGAAAACTGCTGTGATAATTCCTTTACTTAAAAAACCGGGGGCTGATTCAAGTAACTTTGATAATTTTCGCCCCATCTCAACTCTTCCTTTCCTTTCTAAAATTTTGGAAAGGTGTGTTGCAGCTCAAGTCCAGAGTCATCTGTCTCACAATGGTCTGTACGAGCAATTTCAATCTGGGTTTCGACCTTACCATAGTGTTGAGACTGCTTTAGTTAAGATCTCTAATGACCTATTGTTAGCTGCTGACTCTGGACTTTTATCTATCTTAATCTTACTTGATCTAAGTGCAGCATTTGATACTGTATCACACAGAATCATGTTGCACAGATTGGAGACTATTGGAATTACTGGCACCCCTTTGACTTGGTTTCAATCATATTTTTCGGACCGTACTCAATTTGTTCAGCTGAAGCAGTTCTGCTCAAAGACTTCGCATGTCAAAACAGGTGTCCCGCAGGGCTCAGTATTGGGTCCTCTTTTATTTATAATTTATCTTTTACCCCTTGGTAATATTTTTAGGAAATTTGGCATTCAATTCCACCTATATGCCGACGACACCCAACTTTATCTGTCCTCTAAACCTTCCGCTAATTTTCCTCCATCGGTCCTCTCAGACTGTTTGGCTGAGATTAAAGAATGGTTTTCTTTAAATTTTCTTAAACTTAACACCAGTAAAACTGAAATTCTTCTAGTTGGCTTAAAAAACAATCTGTCTAAATCTTCATGCTCATCTGTGAAAATTGACGATCTACCGGTCTCTATATCTAGACAAGTTAAAAGTCTGGGGGTCATTTTGGACAGTACTCTTTCATTTGAAGCACATATAAACAGTCTCATCCGCTCTGCTTATTTTCATATACGCAACATCAATCGACTTCGTCCGGCTCTTTCAGTAAAGAGCACGTCAATTCTAGTCCATGCTCTAGTTACGTCCCGCCTTGATTTTTGCAACAGTCTTTATTATGGATTGCCTTCTAAGGTACTCAATAAACTTCAGTTAGTACAAAATTCGGCTGCCCGCATCATCAGCAGAACTCCCCTTGCTGAACACATTACTCCCATACTAAAACACTTGCACTGGCTCCCGGTAAAATATCGTATTGATTTCAAAATTCTTCTTCTTATTTTTAAAGCACTCAATAACCTTGCTACTTCATATTTATTGGACCTTCTTAATATCTATACTCCATCTCGGACTTTAAGATCGTCTTCTTCGCTCACTCTTGTTCTCCCTAGAACCCGCACTACTTCTATGGGGTCCCGGGCTTTTAGCTTTGCAGCTCCTTATTTATGGAACCTGCTGCCACAGGATGTGCGAAACAGTGAAAGTATTCATGTTTTTAAATCTCGCCTTAAGACCCATCTTTTCCGGCAGGCTTTTATGTGATTATTTTTATTTTTTATTTTTTATTTTACTTGTATCTAAGGTTGTAATAATGAGTATTTGATTATTGTTGATTTGTTTTATTGTGTTTGTAAGGTGTCCTTGAGTGTCATGTAAGGCGCCTATAAATAAAATGTATTATTATTATTATTATTATTATTATTTACTTACCCCCCCATTATAATATCTTATAACACTTTACTCGTCTGGTAAAAATCTTGATTAAAAAAATGTCAGATATTTGGACTGGAAACAACAGTGTACCCTCGATGTCTTAGAGTTTTGCACTATTATTTAGTATCTACTTTCATTTTAGACTATTTTATAACATTCTGTTAGACATATTCATTTCTTGTTGTGTTTCACAGAAGAAACTCATACAGGTTTAAGATGGCATGTTGGTGAGTAAATTATGAATTTTCAGATTTTGGTAAACTGTTCATTTAAGATAATGTACAAATGAAGTCTTGATGTGTCCATTCACAAACATTTGTTAAGACGCATATTGTATGCATAATGTTTAATATAATGTACAAAATGTATGTTGCTTGAATACAAAAATATGGTTAAGAAGCAGATTTGCTTATGAAGTTCTGCCAGAAGATGGCGCTAGAGGAAAGCACAAACTGCAAAGACCTTCATCTCAAACTCTCAATCTGCTCTACAAACACATGAGATGTTTATACTCGATGATTGCGTTTGTCATTGCCGGCGTGTACATATATATTTGTAAGTATGACATGTTTACCTTAAGAAATAAAATATTGCTCAACCACATTATCATGGAGTCTGTTCCTTATTCCACTAATTGGCCTTCAAGTTTTACTCTACTTTTCTGAAAGCTGATTAGTAAACATGAGTAGTTGTGCAAGCCCTAACCCGGACTGGTAAATGAGATCACATTTCAAATGGTAATATTAACTAAAATCCACATAAATACCAAGAAAACAAAACAAATATATGGAAGTACTAAATCAAACGGCATAATCAAATAAGCATTAAGTTTCTTCAGTACAAACAGTGACTCATTCATGTTTACTACAAATGAGTTCATTTGAGAATTTGTCCTGCAGGGCAGGAGATTTATTTCTTTTTAAATTATCTGTAGAGTTAGTTAACCACGACCAGATTGTTAAAGTCCCCCTGTAGTCAATCATTTTATCCCTTAAAACTCATCTTTGATCACCAAAGTTACATATTTAAACGTTTTTTCCTTGAAAGAAAATTATTCGTGCCTTAACCTCCTGAGACCCTGCGGCCTCATATGAGGACATTACATTTTTGCCTCTTGACACAATGATAGTCAAATTTGTAAATCTTAGACATGTTGGCCACATTTAGGGGCACTGCCCACACCATCTTGTAGTGATATCACAACATTACACCAATGTCAGTGAGAAGAAAATGACCCTAACCCTAACCTTAACACTTCTACACCAGTTCCCGAAAGAAAAATGACCCAGGTAAAAAATCGATTCAAATTATATGAATGAAACAAATGTATTTATGTACAATACTGTCTCTATCATCATATGGGGATTAAAATTTGACATATTTTAGTAATAGTAGCACTCTTGGACATCAGTAAATATGAAGTAGGCTACTCGTTTGAGGACATTGGGACTATATTACGTAATCCCCTTAACTGTCACCGTCCCACGTGGGACGTTTGCCCATTTATATTTAGAACAATAATATCTTAGTAAAAACCTAAAGTAATATTGACAAACTAAATATCATTTGAAAGCTTACAATCTCTAGTTTTCATATTTGGTGGCTGTTTTTTAAAATAAATTACAGAATAGCAGTAATTTATCAATTTGCAACAAGAATATTTCATATTCATTAGGCGTGTTTAGGCCTTTATTTTGAAATAGAAAAAAAAAAACATGAAAAATCATGAAAGATTGGTAGAAACCTCAAGTTTTCATGCCAAGAGTTCAAAAGATAACACTAATTAAATGTTATGAGAAAAAAAGGTCTGAAAATTTTTAGAATATAAAGAAAAATATTATGAATTCTCGATTTTTGATGCGGCAGCGAGCTATAACGCACATATGTGCTCTTTTTATGTTTATTAGAGGTTGAAATCAAATCAAATACTGCCAAAACACCCATACTATTTCTGAATAGGATGTATACTTAATAAATTGTATGAAATTATGGAAAGACATGGTTCAGATCACTCAAAACATATGAAAATGGAGACACCCTTATATGGTCAGTAAGGAAGCTGGCTGTCCATCTAGTGAAAAAGTTTGGTACTACGCCCAAATAAAATCTTACTGAAAGCTCATTTTTTGAGATATCAACCTAAAATTTGGAACACAACTTGTTTAGATTTTTGGCTTTAATTTTCTAGCAGTTTTAGAGTAAAATATA